AGTGAGTCCTGGATGGAGTGAGTCTTGGATGGAGTGAGTCCTGGATGAAGTGAGTCTTGGATGGAGTGAGTCCTGGAGTGAGTCCTGGATGGAGTGAGTCTTGATGGAGTGAGTCCTGGATGGAGTGAGTCTTGATGGAGTGAGTCCTGATGGAGTGACATGGATGGAGTGAGTCTTGGATGAAGTGAGTCCTGGATGGAGTGAGTCCTGGATGGAGTGAGTCCTGGATAAAGTGAGTCCTGGATGGAGTGAGTCCTGATGGAGTGACATGGATGGAGTGAGTCCTGGATGGAGTGAGTCCTGGATGATTCCTGCTGTTCTCCTTCAACAGTTCTGTTCATACGTCGAGTCCATGAAGGACGTTTTGTCCCTGAGATCCTCTCCAGAGTCTCTGAGTCTTTGCAGCACCTTCCTTTCTGCTTGTGTGGTGTTCCCATACCAGACGGTGATCCTGTGGTTAGGATGCTCTCTCAGTCCTCTGTAGGCCTGGGTGAGAGGGTGCTGGTTCAGACCCACTTTCCTGAGCAGCCTAATGAAGTAAAGCCTGCTGGGCTTTTTTCACTGTGACTGTGGTGTAGAGAGACCAGCTCAGGTCCAATGTCACCTGCAGTCCCAAGAATCTATGACTGTCAGCCCTCCCTACCTTTTAATGTTGAGAGGCTGCAATGGGGGAGGGTTCTTCCTGAAGGCCAATATGATTTCTTTTGTCTATATTGAGGATGAGGTCGTTCTTCTCTCCACAGTTTATAATGTTGTCTCCCAGAGTCCTGTACCCTGACTCGTTCCCATCCTGGATGAGCCCCAGTACAGTGGTGTTGTCAGCATATTTAATAATGATGGTGTTGTGCTGGGTGGAGACAGTCATAAGTGTACAGAGTAAAGAGTTTAGGGCTGAGACAACAGCCCTGTGGGACTCCTGTGCTGACTGTGAGTTCAGCAGACACCTGTCCTCCCATTATTACCACCTGTGGTCTATCTGTCAGGAAGTCCAGGATCCAGTTGCAGGTGGGAGTTGGGACGCCGAGGTCTGTCAGCTTCTCTATCAGCGTGTGGGCGGATGATATTGACAGCCGAAGTGTAGTCCATGAAGAGCATTCTGGTTTATGTTCTGCTGCTTTCCAGGTGTTGCAGAGTGTGGAGTAGGACTGTTGCTACCCCATCATCCACTGATCAATTAGGGCGGTAGGCAAACTGGAGGGGGTCGACAGTATCCGGGACCATGCAGTTGGTGTGCTTTAGGACCAGTTTTTCCAGGCACTCCATAGCGACAGATGTTACTGCCACTGGCCTGTAGTCATTAATGGTGGATGTGTTCGGACTTTTGGGAACTGGTATGATGATGAAAATTCGGGGCACCACTGCCTGAGATAATGACAGGTTGAAGATGTCAGCATATGCTCCAGCCAGTTGTTCCTCACAGGCCTTCAGAACTCTGGGAGGAACTCCATCAGGTCCCCCAGCCTTGTGGGGGTTCACCTTCTTCAGAGCTTTCAGGACCTGTGTGTGTGTGTCACCTGGAAGGCAGTGCCCGAGGGGTCACAGGGGGGTCCTTGAGTCTGTGTTCAACCTGTCCAACCTGGCATAGAAGGTGTTGAGGCTGTCTGGAAGGGTGTCCTGTCAGGGATCTGTGGTTGTCGTGGTTCTCCTATGTGGGTCACGTGTTTTGGTTGAGGTTGTAGCTTTCAAGCTGAGTGAGCCCTTTTTGCTGCTCTGATGAATTCTAAGCTCTTATCAAGCTCTCTACTCCTTGGTCTCCTGACTTGAAGGCCTCCCTCCGCTTCCTGATTTTTTTGTTTAACATCCCCACTAACCAGGGTTTTTGGTTGGGGAACATCTCCACAGTCCTGGGAGGGGCACACATGGATATACACCAGCTAATAGTCACTCACAGTCTCTGCATACTCATGGATATTGTTTGAAGGAGCTCCAGTCTGTGGCCTCCAAGCAGCTCTGCAAGCTAGCCTTTGTACCATCAGTCCAGGTTTGAACGGTCCAGACTGTGACTGGCTCGTTCTTATTCTACTTGTTGTAAACTGGTTTAAGTCGGATTGTCAGGTGATCAGATTTACCAAAGTGAGGTTTGGGTTCAGCTGAGAAGGCATTCCTGATGTTGTAGCAGTGGTCCAGTATTTTATTTCCCCTGGTGGAGAAGGTCACAAACTGATGCAGTTTAGGGAATTTTTTCCAAAGATCGCAGTGATTAAAATCTCCCAGAAGAATAAGAGCAGCGTCAGGATACGTGTTCTCATGGTTGGCGATCATGTCGTGTAGCGCCTCCTCCTCTTTAGCTTCATATACACGACACACACCACGAGGCATTTCAGTTCTCTCTAAAATGGCCTTAGCTTCAGAGTTGCATGTTTTCTGAGCAGGATTTAGAAATGATCGTACAGTCTGTACACCATGAATTTTTAATGAGGACGGCCGTTCCTCCTCCGCGAGTCTTACCGCTGTCTGCAGCGCTTCGGTCCTCTCTGAAGATCGTGTATCTGACTGGAGTTATCGCCTCATCAGGTGTCCTTTCCTCTAGCCTGGTTTCACAGAAACACAACAAAGAACAGTCCTGGAAGTCCCTCTGCGTGGAAATCTGAGCGTGGAGCTCATCCATTTTATTCTCCAGAGACTGAACATTTACAAACAGCATGACCAGGAGGGTTCACCTTCCATTGTTCACCAAGCACCAGAGCTCCTCCCCGTATTCCACGTCTCCGCTTCGACCTGTTGTTGCTCCCTATCAGTTCCCAACTGTGTGTGGAGTTAGCATAGCATGCTAACTCAGGATGTAATTCCAGCACGATCAGGTAGAAAAGTCCAAAACGACTATGATCTCTCTGTTGTCATAAGATCGCTCCATCATTGATGAGATGCGTCTTGACACCACAAAAAAAGAGCAAAAAGTTAAAAAAAAAGAAATGACTTGACTCTGAGAGCTCCACGATGTCACCCTCTGAGGAGCGCCATCTTGGATCTCTCACTTTTCAGTTGAGCAACAAACCTTTGAATTAATGAAATTAGAGTTGTCCCGACACATTTTTATTTATTTTTCTCTCCAGGCAGAAACGTGACGACTGTCACTGGTCAGGACTTCAGTGTCAGGAGAGAAGGCTGAGTCTCTGCAGGAGGAGTTTAAAAACTGACAGGAACATGGGCAGGTGTTTTCAGATTCTGTGTTCGGGTGGGCGGTCCATGTTGGTGGTTCTGTTGAGTGTTGGGTTCTGGGTGTGAGTGCCTGTAAAGAAGCGACACCACCATCAGATGTTGGACCTGATGTATAAAAAGGAAGCGCTTCCTGTTTGGAGAGTTTCTGAATAATAAAGCTGTAAGTAGAGCAACATGATTAGAGCGTGACTCCACAGCGTCGTCACAGTCGGCGCTCTGCGGGCTGCAACATTTATTATCCAATCTGAAGCTTTGATAGTCACGGTTCCCGCTGCATTATCTTTGTGATCATCGCTTTATTCACTATTTAAAAATTGATTTTTGAACGTCACACCTGCCATTTGTTAATTCTTGCAGTGTGAGGGGTTTAGTTGTTGGTTGTGATTTAATAAAGCGTGCTTTGTGTTTCAGATCCGGATGCAGGCTCAGGGCAGCCTCCTGCAGGGCAGCATGATGTCCAACTTCATCAACATCTACCAGACCGAAGGCACCCGGGGGCTGTGGAGAGTGAGACTCCTGCAGAGCTGACAAATTACCCACACTTGTACCGTCACAACATCACAGTCACACTGATGCTTTGTTTCTCCAGGGGGTCATCCCCACCGCGCAGCGGGCAGCCATCGTCGTAGGGGTGGAACTTCCTGTCTATGACATCACAAAGAAGCACCTCCTCCGTTCGGGCCTGATGGGAGACACCATCCTGACACATTTCATGTGAGTCTCTGTCTTCACTTCTCCTTACAGCGTCCTGATCTCACTTTGTTTTATTAACCGTGTTCCTCGCACAGCTCCAGTTTTACCTGCGGCCTGGCGGGGGCGCTGGCCTCCAACCCCGTCGACGTGGTCCGGACACGAATGATGAACCAGCGGGTTTTATCTGGAAGCCCCATATACAAAGGAACGCTGGACGGCCTGATGAAGACGTGGAAGAACGAGGGCTTCTTTGCTCTCTATAAGGGGTTCTGGCCCAACTGGCTGCGACTGGGTCCCTGGAACATCATTGTATCCTTTAACCTCAAACCAGTATACACAACCAGAACTTAGTCACATTTATTCTGTACGTTGGGGAGTGGTGGCGCAGAGGTTAGAGAAGGTGGGCCTGTGATCAGAAGATCGTCGGTTCAGCTCCGGACCCCGAAGAACGAGCAGCCGAAGAAGGAAATCTGTTTGTAGTTCGCCTGAAATATTTGATCCACGCACATTAATCAGACGTGAAACTCTAAAAGTTTTAGCCGACAGTTTCCACACAATTTATTGTTGGTTAAATGCAAAAGCATTCTTAATACATCAATTAAACAAAGATATGATGACAGAACAACAACTTCAACAGCTGTTGGACAATTTTATCCATTTATGACCACGGTTTATAAAGTTTATAATAATTAGCAGGAAATATGTCATTGGTAATCATTTAAATTTCATTTCAAGAAATCCAAAGACCTCTGCGGTAAATGTATAATTTTTGTTAAAATTTATATATTTTATTTTGTTTTACTGACATTTCAGGTGTTCATTAAAGGCCTAGCATTCTTTAGAACAGGGGTGCCCAAAGTTGGCCCGCCAAGCTGTCCTACACTGCACAGCTGGACTGACTAATTTGTGCATTCATTTTAAAATTTTAATCATTTATATTTTATTTCGACAGACTTCATACTATCTCTTGGCAGTTTCTTGCTGCTGAATAACATTTCCTTTGACAAAGCTGAGCATCATGTATAGGTGTCCATCACACGCACTTCTTCACCCCTAAATCTTAATCAGCATCTCTGAAAAATTAAGAAACCGTCATTTTGTAAGGAAACAGTTTTCAAACCTTAGATTTATGAGTTAAGGGCCCAGAGTGGGGCTAGTGAGGCTGGAGGCAGGTGTGGGTGCTTCACCTTTCACCACCCACATTTTGATGATGTCAGACCTGGGAGTCAAACCAGCAACCTGCAGATCACAGGCTCACCTTCTCTAAGCTCTGTCCAGGTTCAATCAGGAACGTCAGTGTTTCCCCCGACGTTGTACAAGGAGGGCGCCCCGCCTTGTCAACAGAACCGAGCACCCGCCTACCGAAATAGTCCCCCCCCACAACAACAACTTCCAGCACTGACAGAGGGCTAAGCTAGCAGTGTGCAATACAGACGAGTTAGCTAAAAAGCTACAGACGTAGCGCTCTGCTTCTGTCACGTACACCCCAACCCCCCCACCCGTCGACAAAACTCTGTGAAGACGTGCGCGCCCTGACCCAGAGGACACCCTGCGTGGTGACATCAGTAGGAGCTCGTGTGGAGACTCAGCTACTCCCACAGCAGACTTCAGCCGCCACACGAAACGAGCCGTGGCTAACGCCGTTAGCTTGATCACTTTAACTCCAGACATTCTTTGATGATTCCTTTTTGAGTTTTATTGAACTTAGACCATCAGGTCGTTAGATATTTTGCTAACAGGCCTGCTGCCAGTCAAAAATGGACCGCAGAGCTTTGACCTGGTAATAAAGGAATCAGAGCAGGTGACGAGCTTCACAAAGGTTCACTGATGAAGACCACTTCATGTTCATGTTGATGAAGCTCGATCAGCAGGATGAGGGCCGGCTCCGGGTCGACCTGCTCAGTGCTTTTGTTGCCACCGTTTGAAAACCAACTTCTCCTCTGCAGGTGAAACGACGAGTCGTTCTGTGAAGCATCAGTCTCTCAGATCTGCTGCGAGTTACTCCAGAGTCTTCAAGTTTGACCTTAACGAGCCGCCGTCAGTTTTTCATCACGTTTGAGCAGCTGAAGAAGCTCCCGTTCTAACCGGAGCGGGACCGGTCCGTCGGGCCGAGAGCAGAGATGGGAGGAGCACCGGCACGACGCCGCGGCTCAGAGTCAGTCCTCCGCTCATTTCACCTTTCTTTACGCCACTGTTCGTCCTCGGGCAGCTACATGTGGGAAAACTGAGGGAAAGACGGGATCGAACCCCCGTCACGCGACTCTCAGACGGAAACGAGGGTTCCAGGCAGACGCCCAGGAGTCCCACAGGGGTTTTTATTCATTAAACAATCAGAATGATGCGCTAATATTCCCCAATTTAGATAAATCAAAGGATCTCGTCTTGTGTTGGATGTTGAGGGAAAACGTGGACGAGCAGAACGCACGACTGCAACATTAAAGGGATATTTCACCCATTTAAAATAGGTGACTGTGTATAAATGTCTTACCTGTTGAACAACCTCAGTTTGGAGAAATAGTTTATTCTGACAGGACTCATGAGCAAAAACAAGACTTGAGGGCCAGAAGGGCCATCAGTTAAAAACTTAAAGGTTTTAGTAAACGGCTCCTGAGAACAGGAAAAACAGTTGTGCTGCTTTTTTACACTTTTAGACTAAAGGTTCCGTTACAAAGTTTGTGTTGAAACTAAATACAGCATGCTGTCAAGTGCACGTCTTTACGCACAGGAAGATCGTTGTGTTTGTCCTGGCATGATGCCTCAAAAAGACCTTTTGACACACCTTAAAGATATGAATATAAACTATTCATCGGTCTGTAAAACACGTTTGGCTTCCTGTCGTCAGTCTGTCTGTTTGCAGACGATGTGTTGATGTTTATGATCGATGCAGGCTCATCTGAAGCTCTTTAAGACCTTTCACTGAGACGCAGCCTGATCCAGGAACAGTTTGACATCCCAGACATTTACAGACGTAACCGACACCAGCAGCAGCGAGATGAAGCACTTCGACGGCGTCCAGCGCCTCAGCAGGCGTGTAGCTACATGTCTGATGTGAAATGTAATGTGTTGTTAACGTTTATAAATGATGCGTTCATGACGAGCCATGAGCTCATCAGTCCTGTCAGAATTAGGTTCAGTTTCTCCAAACACAAGAGTTAACTGCAGCAGGTAAGATAGTTATTATTTGGAGCTTTCACATTGGACCCCATGGCAGAATGGCCGAACTGTTCCTTTAATGTGGTCAGTCAGAAATCGCTCCTGTTCACTGAATCTATTTATTTAATCCTAGAGTTGTTTTTGGAGGCTTTTAAAATGTTAGTTAGTTTATTTGTGATGTTTAAATCTGAAACCAAAACCACCACGTTTTCGCTCATTTATGCGTTTATTTGTTTATTTATTTATTTATTTTTGGCCATCGAGTCATGTTTGTTTCTGTTCTGGTCCGTCCTGGCTCAGTTCAAGAAACCAAGCTGAGATTATTTCTGAAAATAATCTTTTAAACGTCCAGACTCCATGTTTCGTGCCAAAGTGTTTTTATTTCATCTTCTCAGGCAGATGTTGGATCTGTCCAAGGCAACAACTGGATTAAATCTGAACCGACCAAATTCACTTTTAATCTAACGTTTATTTTAAAGGTCCAACGACAGGAAAGCTCATAAATCTGAGTTTTCCTGGGGCTTCCTCGGCCTGTTGCTTCTGGTCCCAGTCTCACACGTGATTATCTTTAATTATCTTAAATTATTATTTAGAAGCTGATTTTAAAATCAAAATGAAAATCGTTGTGTTCTGTTTGGGGCGCCAGAACGTTCCCCAACAAAACAATTCAGTTTATTTATAAAGCATCAACAAGAGAAGTCGTCTCAGGACACTGAACAGAAACGTTCATATATAAAATAATAAGTTGGCATTATTTATCTGAGGAGCAGACGTTCAGATTCCTGCATAATCCTGACAAGTGGAGATTTTTAACTTTCAGATTTTTCTGGTCAGGATTAGATCTGTTGCTCATTCTGATGGACAAAAATCACAATTCCACCTGCGCTGTATGAATATGAACTTACGGTAATTGTTAGTTTTCATTTTGTCCCAGGAGGACAAACTTTAATCACCAGCTGATGCAAACATCTGCACGTAAAGACGGAAACATCTGCGGCTGCTCGCTCACCGTCAGCAGAACTGGTCAAAATATTCTAATGAAATAACTTTTCTGTGGGTCCCATGAATTAAATAATCTCAAAGAATGCTTTGAAACCCTGTTCTGAGCAGAAGCAGCAGCTCTCTGCCCAACAGCAGCTGGGAAATCCTGAGGTCCAAACCCAGTTTGACGTTTCCTCTTTAATGTCTTGGCAAGAAATCCTGGTTGGAACACGCTGACCTGCAGGAGGTATCGGTGCAGCGGGGCAAAGTTAAATACATAAATACTAATAATCCCATTAATCCATCGTTGAATTATTCAGTGCAGTTGGAGGATTGAGGGTGAGCGAGTAGCTTAAAGAGGCAGAAATCAGAGAACGTGCTTCGCTCGGCTGATTTGATGCGACGTCACATTTAGAAGGAAGCCGCGAGACGTTTCAGATCCCGGACTTTTATTTTGGTGTGTAGAACCCTTCTGTGACGTCGCTCGTCTTCCTCCAACATCTCGTCTCTCTCTGATCTTCTAGGTCCGTTACGGTCGACCTGTTGCCTTGGAAACGAAGCTTCCCTGAGCCGTTGAGCTCGTTTGTAAAGCAAACTGTTGTATTCTGGGTATTTTTTTTTTTCATTTTTCACACAACTATGGATTTACAGAGGAGTCCCGTCCGCTCGTTACATTGTTCTGATCAAGTGTGGAACCGGGGCGACGCCGGGCGGAGCGTCTCGTTCTGCACCGTGTGTGAATGTAAACACGGCCACGCCCCTCGAACCGTTCATCCGTTGTTCCCAGAGCTCCTTTATTTATTTTAATGGTCATGTGAACAACCGGTCCTTTAATGTTCCCAGCAAACGTCCGTTAGTTTTATGGAAGTGTTTTTGTGCAGGTGCTGATGTTCACCGGGTGTTTTCTTCTAACCACTCCGGACGCGTTTGTTTCACACGTTCATGAGAACATTTAGCAGAGAGGCTCAGACTTCTCAAAGCTGGTCCAGATTTCACGTTTTGTCCACGACGACAGATTTCTTTCTTCAGCATGCAGCTCCTCAGTGGTGAAGTTTTTATATTTGTCCAGAACGAACAGCTTGACTCTTCGCAGCTCTGAAGTTTCATCGTCAGTATTTCTGATTTGTGCACGTCACAACTTTAAAACACTTCCACTCCCGTTTGCTCGTTCCGGTGCAACGACGAGACACAACTTCTCGTGTTTTGAGTTTCTTCTACAAATCATTTGATATTTTCACGCTCCAACAGAAACATTTCAATCTGCAACATATTCAGTGAGTTCTGATGGACGTGGGTCCAGTTACTGATGATTAAACCTTTCACTCCGAGGATGAACTCTACACAACCGTCACTTCCTGGTTTTGGTGAAGCGTCCACAAAGTTGCGTTGATTGAACGTTCACGTGTTGATTCAGTAGAAGTCTGTTTTTATTTTCTCAGACGAACGAACCGGGTCAGAACACGGTCTCGAATAAAACGTTTTTGTTTCTTCGTAGTAAATTGTTGCATCTATTTATTGGAACATTAAAACTTCACAGCTGGAAAACGTTTGGTTTTTTGGTTGCGTCTCGTTTTATTTTTAGTTTTATATCTTGAGTCTGTTGTTTTTTTGAGGGTTTTATGTAAAACATCCAGTTTTCCTTGTAAATGTGACAGATTTGATCTTTTATTTTGAAAGTCAAAAGCTTCCTGTCTCTATGACTAAAACTGTTTCACAGATCAAGTTAAAAAATCTACTTTTTAAATGTGATTACAGAGTTAAAGTTTTTATTTTTGTTTCCGTGTTCAGCACAACTTTGTTACCAACTAAAATAATTTTAAAATGTTTTATTTTTTAATGTGAAACTTTGTAAAAGAGAATCGGGTCAGCTGAGACGGGACAAACAAACTCTGCGGTTCGACTAAATGTTCAGATCTTTTAAAAAGCTCTTTGTTTTGGCGCCCCGGATCATTTGCACTTTGAGTCTGTTTAACTTGAATTATTTTATTTGTTTTATTCACTTGATGAATGTCAGCGCTGGAGGTTTGTCTGTTTACTTTTTAAACATTTTGTTTTATATAGAATTACCGTTCCCTCAAATAAAAGATTTGCTCTGATTGAAACTCGTTTCCTTTTTACTGATTATTTTTTTTTTTTAAGTTGAAGTTTGCAAAAAGCAGACGTATAAATAAAGACGTGTTTGTTCTTAAAACAACATGTGCAAACTAAAAATAAGTTATTTTTATTTCCCAGACTTTTGATGACTGGTAAAGGTGGGCAGCTCGGTTCTGACCCAGACTGTCTGCTGGAAAGTGTGGCGCTCTCTTCCTGACAGATTTGTGGCCAGACGGCGGCTGCAGGGACGAGTGGAGACTGACGGGACGGAACCGGCGGTGACGTTTACTGCAGGGGGCGGGGCTTCCCAGGAGCTCTGCTGTGGACAATGACAGGTGTGTGAAGACCGACGTGAACAAGTCGACTGTTCACCTTCGGCTGGATAAGCCCTTCAGATTCTGGACCATCAGATCTTGTCTGCAGTAATTAGAGCGTTGCTCCGGTCTATTGTAGTGAATAAGGAGCTGAGCCCAAAGGAAAAGCTCTGGGTCTCCTCTGCAGGGTGTCTGGGTTCAGCCGTAGAGATCAGGTGGAGCTTGAAGCAGAGCCTCTTCATCACAACAGAATTAATCAAATATTTTTCATTTTGACCCTCAAGAGTCTCGGGGGGGGGGGGGGGGGGGGGGGTGTCAGCCACACATTTATTTTTGTTTTCAATCTTTTTCGTCTGTTCCTGACATGCCTTCTAATCTTTAATTATATGGACTGGAGACCTGTCCAGGGTGTCCCCCGCCTCTCACACAGTGATGGCTGGACATGGACACCGGTGACCTCTGTGACTCGAAAAGGATGAAGTACGGTAGGTAAAGTAGATGGATGGATGAGCCCATCATCTCACGATGTAGATGGATGGATGAGCCCATCGTCTCACGATGTAGA